TTCCTACACGATTTTCTAGCACCTTCTTAAACCTATAACTCTCATATAAATGACACCCATATTAATGAGTATTAGGCCCTTCACTTGCCCTTAAGTTGTGAGACTTTCACCTATAAATAGGCCCCAATGCATACACATTTTTTGCACCAAAACAAAAACTTCTAAGCATAAAAGAGAGAGTTTTCAAGTCTAGAAAAAAAAGAAAGGAGAGGGAGGAAAATTAATTTTTCCTAGAAGTTTTGATGCTATCAAGAAATGTTTTACAAGCATCAATTCTTAATGGAGTGTTTTTTTAAACATCAAAGAAGTGCATTTTTCAACAAGGTTCAAAGTATCAATCAAGGTAGGTATAGGTGCAAAGTGTTAATTCGTGTTAAGTTATAAGTTTCTAACAAATGAAAAATTATGTTAATGTTTCTATGTCTAATGGCACCTCCGGTACGGCATACACCTCCATGTCTAATGATACCTTTGGGTATGGCATGTACTTCCGGTCGAGGCATCGTGTTAAGTCATGAGTCTACGTGTTTGGGATTCTACCGGAAATCCTACTATGAAAAGGTTTCTAAAGTTACAACTTTGAAATGTATAGCTTGATCACGAATGCACCAATGATATCTATTGAATTTTTTAACTCACGGGTTTAATCCATTCTCTACAGATTGATGCGATTCTACCTTGGCCTAGATGATGGAAAAGATGGAGAGTGATGCAACGAGCCTATGAAAAAATCCGGTAAACCAGTTATTTAGATTTATTTTTGTGAACGTTTTCAATGTTATTTCTTTAAAGTATTTGAATGATGCTGAACACGAGAACGAGTTGTGTTTTCTTCAAATAAATTACGTTCCTTTTTTTTATTCAGTGTTTTATTTAAAGTATTCGAAAGGTTGTTGTTAAAATTATCATTGTAAAAATTAAGTTTCCGCTAAAACATATTCTCCTATGACTAAACACCGATTACTTAAGTAAAGTAAGTAGCGTTTCGATCCACAAGGGGTCAGGGCGTTTACACAACTTCACTACTCCTACGAATTCAACCTTCACTTGAACTCCATTTGCAATGCTCAAGCTTACTTCATTCTCACTTGGCCTCCGTTTGCTTGTGAACCCCTACAAAGAATTCGCAATATGAATACTAACTCTTGAGTCTAACCACCAAGAATTCAAAGTCACGTCTACTAAAGAAGACTCAAAATAAACAAAGGCAAAGGGAATACCTGGAGAACTCTTCTTCTTTTCCAACCGAGTGTTGAACTTAAAACAGTCTTTCTGCCAATGACCCTTATTTTTACAGAACTTGCATTGATCATTTTTCTTTATAACTTCTTTGGGACTACTAAAATTTTTATTCTGTTGACTACAGTGGGACTTATTACCCTTACGAAACTTAGGTTTATGGTTATGAAAAGGTCCTTTATTCTACGACGGCTGAAAGGCTAATTGCACAGTTTCAACAGTTTCACGGCGCATCCTATACTCTTCTTGGGCACACACTGCTATAAGATCATTCAAATTCCATTTATCCCACTGAGCATTGTAAGCAACTTTAAGCTGATTAAACTTGTTAGGAAGGCTTTTCAAAACATGATAGACCAAGAAAGGCTCCGCAATGGGAATGTCAAAAGCCTTTAGCTTAGATGATATATTTATCATTTTCATGACATGCTCTCTAATACCACTTGTATCATCATATTGCATGCTCATTAGTTCATCCATCAGATCTCCAGTTTCGGCTTTATTAGACTCAATAAATTTTTCTCCTATGGCATCCATAAAACTTTTAACTTTTCATTATCGGGGATGGCACCTATAATGAAATCAGATATCGATCGCTTAATGATTTTCAAATAGAATTTGTTAGCCCTTTCCCATTTTTCATGCTCGGCTACATATTCAACAGTACTATTATCTGTGGGTTTCTCAAGTTTTTTCTCCATTGCAAAATTCAAGCCTAAAAGACCAAGTGTTATTTCTACGTCTCGTTTCCATCTCACAAAGTTATTCCCAGTCAAAATTTCAATAGGAGACAATTGATTCGAAAGAGATGAGACATTATAAACCGTGGAAACATAAAATATCACCCTCAATATCATCCAAATGTAATGCACGCAATCAAATGGATGATGAAATATCCAACTAATTAATATGGGCTATTAATTAGATAATCTATAATCTGAATCGAAACATATGTCTTTTATTATAATATCATTGTTGATATGAATGATAGTTGTAATAGCAGCCAAGATCTTCCCCTCCTTGCTCCTCACAAAAGTATTAGCTATAATGGGGCAAGCCAATAAAAACTTATGGAGAGGAGAGGGGATCTAGCTTTTATATAAAAAATAATATAGTCGTCCCATTACGATTAGAATTCTAATTAGAGTTTATTTCCAACCCATATACTTTAAATTACCACATCAAATTAATTACAACCCGTAAGATGTAAAATGCCAAATTGATCACTTAATAAATTTGGCCCAAACACAAATATCATTATGAGCCATACATCTAACCCGTAAAATTTACAATCGAATGTGAAGCCCACATATAGAATTATTAATTATTCCAACATTTTGAACTATAGCTCGTGATTCATTTGCATTTGTTACCAATGATTCTTCAAGTGGGTATCCGTCTAATTTTTGTTCGCTCATTTGTTGAAAAGTGAAAGAATGCGGTCTCAGCCGACCTTTGTAAAATATTTACCGTTCTGGTGACCTTCCGCTACAGCAAGTTCGCATGCATCAAGAAATATTTGGTGCTCCTTTATAGCCCAATTTGCAGTCTTACGTATAGGATGTTCTGGCTGAGGTTGGGTGGAGGTGTTTGCTTGCACCTGAGAAGGGGCAGAGAGTTGGTTTTTTTTTTTTTTTTTTTTTTTGAGAAATGACAGAGCATTTCTCATAGAAGCCTTACCGACCTCTCACTGTAGGGGTCGGTCCCACATTGGAAAAAAAATACATCGGGGCCCATGCGTGTGTGTGTTCTGGCAAGGGTTTGTTTAGCACCTCTTTTTTTTATTATTTTATTTTATTTTATTTTATTTTTACCCAAATTAGGTTAGATTATTTTTAGAAGAATATTGTCTTCTTTATTTCACGTGCTTTTATTGGAAAAATATTATTCATTTTATAGGAAAAATATTGTTTTCTTTATTGTATGCATTTTTATTTGAAAAATATTATTTCCTTTATTCCACACGTTTTTCTTATACTATTTCCATTTTTAAAAATATTGTTAGGGTTTTGATACATCACTTATATAGTTGGCTCTTTTTTACAAGTTTATTTATTACTAAAATATATAATGATTATGTAGACACAATTATTGTATTTTTTTTTTTCATATTAGTCAATTAAATAGAATACTTCATTCATCTATCAATTAATTCATTGCCTTTGATCTTGTTATTTATTTGCGATTATCTACTTTACATCATGTTATATATATTATCTCGATTTGTTTTATTTTCCAACACTGAGGTGGTGTAGGTTTGTATGAATTATGCCCACTTAGATGATCGACACTCACATTGACATGAGATCCGTGCCGAACTCATGTGAATAAAACTGTGAAAAATGACACCCCACCCTCTCGACTATGAGTATAGGTCAACTGGGATGTCAAAATAATTCTGATACGGTGGTACCCCATGAGCCTAATTCAAAAAGGAATGATATCAAAAGCTTTGGAATTATTTATAATTTTTTGCACTGTTCATTTCAAATTTTACCAAAACTAGTAGTAGGGGCATCAAACAGATGCTCAATTTTGGCTTTTATTCAGTGGGAATAAATTAGATTTTTAGTAAATTTTGATTTAAGTTAATGAAATGTGTGGTTAAAAAATTATGGAACTCATAAAATAAGTGGATAAAATTAATTATTAATTTTAATTTAGATTAAAATCTAAATTTTAAATTGTACAAAACAGGGGCTTGAAATTATTGCAGTTACGCTCTTGTTTGGTGAAAATTAATTCAAGTCAAAGTTAACATTTGATTTTAACCATACATTTCATTGGACCTACAATTTTTAACCACATATTTAATCAACTTTTATCAAAATTTACTAAACATTTAATTTTAATTGGGGACTAGAACTTTGTTTCGAATGCGTATTTATGGATGAATCGTTTGTACCAACGAAATAAAGGTGGAGCCCGTTCTGAATGCATTTCTATACAGCTTCCCCCGCAAGTTTGGTCCAAATTTTGAAATAAATTCAAACCTAACCTTTATCTTACACTGTACGCTCCAAACCAAACGTCTCTTTTATCACGTGCTAGCCAGCCACCCGTTAATTGCTGGGACCACTATTTAATTAATAGCGGGAAACCCCATTTCAACATTAATTAATTATTTGCCAAGCTTAACTCGGAAAGGCATTATTCTAATTGTAGAGTCAGTCTTCGATAATAAAATCATTTATTTTTTTGTATACCATAATTTCAGACGACACTACGCCCATCATTGATATGGATTGAAATTTAAATTTTTAATAAGTTTTGATAAAAATTGATGAAATTTATGGTTAAAAAGTTGTGAATCCTATAAAATATATGATTAAAATTAATGGTCGATTTTGACTTGATTTTAATCTTTACCAAATAGGGACGTACAATTCATGACGATAAGTCAGCCGGTAATTTTAAAAATATGGATAATGTAATTCTTTTCTTTTTTGAAAACATATATATATTGTAAAAGATTAATTTTTGAGAATGTAATTAAAAGTAGAAATTCTTTTAATTTATGTGCAACATTATTTTAACGAGAACGTGCTATTGACAATAAATTTGTGAAAAAAAAAAAGAACTTTACAAAAAATGACAAAACAAAATCCTCTTAATGCTGGGTGGAGGCAAAACATTAAAATATTGTTTAATTTGAATTATCCCAATTTAGGGTTCATTCTCCCGCAAGCTTCTCCCCAAATTTCAAATCCCGCGCTCATATCTTCTCATTCAAATTCCATTTTCTCCCCTATTTAAACTTCACATTATCCCCCGTATTTCCCCAAACGAAACATTTTCTCTTCTTTTGATCCAAACCACAAAAACCCTTTTGTAAACTTCTCCCCAAAATGCCTTCAATACCCGAAGAGCCTATCCTAGCCTCAAACCCAGATCGGTTCTGCATGTTTCCAATTCAGTATCCCGAAATTTGGGAAATGTACAAGAAAGCAGAGGCATCGTTTTGGACTGCGGAAGAGGTAGATTTGTCCCAGGATACACAGCACTGGGAAAAATTGACAGAGGACGAGAAGCATTTCATTAAGCATGTTCTTGCCTTTTTTGCCGCCTCGGACGGCATCGTTTTGGAGAACCTCGCCGGAAGGTTCATGAAGGAGGTTCAAATTTCGGAGGCGCGTGCGTTTTATGGCTTCCAAATCGCGATTGAGAATATCCATTCCGAGATGTACAGCCTTCTTCTCGAATCTTATATCAAGGACTCGGAGGAGAAGAACAGGCTTTTCCACGCAATCGAGACCATTCCTTGTGTGGAGAAGAAGGCTAAGTGGGCCCTCCGCTGGATTGACGGCTCAGAATCCTTTGCCGAGCGTATACTCGCCTTTGCTTGCGTTGAAGGGATTTTCTTCTCGGGAAGCTTCTGCGCAATATTTTGGCTAAAAAAGCGAGGATTAATGCCTGGATTAACTTTCTCAAACGAGTTAATCTCAAGAGACGAGGGTTTACACTGTGATTTCGCGTGCTTGCTCTACAGCCTGCTGAGGATGAAACTGAGTGAGGATAGAGTGAAGGGGCTTATTGCTGATGCGGTAGAAATTGAGAGGGAATTCGTTTGTGATGCTCTTCCTTGTGCCCTGGTTGGGATGAACGGTGATCTGATGAGTCAATACATTGAATTCGTAGCTGATCGACTTTTGAACGCACTTGGGTACAGCAAATTATACAATGTGCAAAACCCGTTTGATTGGATGGAATTGATCAGTCTGCAGGGCAAAACGAATTTCTTCGAGAAGAGGGTAGGTGAATACCAGAAGGCATCAGTAATGTCGAGTTTGAATGGAAATGGGGATACCCATGTGTTCAAGATTGATGAAGATTTCTAATTTTAATGGTAACTTGCTATATGAAATAGATGATTTGCAGTAATGATGTTATCATTGGATTACATATATGTTAGTTTTTTCTTGTTCAACTGAATTTCGTTTGTAATAGTAGCTGTAATCTTTGTTTAAATAAATTCTAACCTCGTTTTCAAATGTTTCTGCTTGTGGGCTTTATGGGAACGCAAATCAGGTGTGAAATGTGAATTGTATGAGAGAACTAAGAACACATGAAGAATTTGTAAATTTTAGCGGGGTCGATGATTTGAAGAGTTGAAAATGTGAATAAATAGGCGACGACCGAGATAAGTTATAAAATATGCGAAAGCTATCCCTCACCTTGGTTTTATAAAGAAAATTCTACAATCCCAAATTGCAACTTTAACCTTTGTTTTTAAGCCATACAAGAAAAATGTTATTTAGCACCAATGGTTATGGTATTTAGGGTTTGTTAATTATTGATTATGAGAATTGATTTTTTAATCGTTAGATAGAAAGTCGATTTCACCTTATGAGTGAAGTAGTAAAAAATGACGGTTAAAATAATGAAATAATGATCAAAAAATGAATTTGTTGGGGGTGAAAAACTACTATAAAATGGGGGCTAAATTTTTGTTTAAGTAAACCAAAAAATTTTCTTTCTTTTTCAACGGCTTATTTTTTTAAAAAATATATGTATATATCATTCCACCCATTTTTCATTTCCACAAAATGGGGGCTAAAAGATTATGTCTAATTAGTCTTATATTCTTGTCTAGGATTTAGCGTCACTTAGTTTGTTATTTTATCATTAATTATATTTATTTAGTCTTGATGTTCATCAATTTATATAACTGTATGATTATCACCGTACATTGTCAAATGTATTTAAATGCATTGTACAATGTGACAATGACTGTTATTGTTGAATAACATTATATTTTAACATTATTGGTTTAGATAGCATTGTTCGTTATACAAATTGTATCGAATTAGAACATGATTTCTCCTTGTAAATGAGGGGAAAATAAATAAATAAATAAATAAATAAATAAATAAATAAATATATATATATATATATATATCTTTTCAAAGATATATATATCTTTTCAAAGAAGATATGAGTTGCTTTATGTATAAATACAGTTGAACTATAGATAATATAATGAATAAATATATCTTCATTAAGTAATTCTTTTCAGTGCTGTTAAGTGTAACAAAAATGATATGTGAACTTTAAAAAAAAAATGTAATAATTATTGACATTAACTAGAGAAAAGGCTCAAAATCGAAGGCTTAAGCACATTGTATTATATCCAGTATGCACAAAATACCATGAAATTATCATAGTTCAGAAATAATAAAAATGAAATCACAATAGTAAATGTGGAATTCTAACATAAGGTTTGGAAAATCAATTATGCAATTTTCATAATTTATTATTATTATTTTCGTTGTTGTAGTGGGATAATATTTCACAACTATTCCAATTTCCAATACCAGAATTATGGATTTTTAAAGTATTGTAATTCTTAAAATTACAAGAGGACAGTATAACCTCCCATTTGGCCCCCATTTTTTTCAAATTAAAATGGTGGGAATAGTATTTTTTATGGAAAATGAGAAGTCAAACAAGAAAGAAAATTTTTCGATTTATGTATAATATTATTTTATGAAAGATTGTGTAATTGAAAATAGAAGAGAAAAAATGAAATTTAATTTAATGGGAGCCAAATTGGGGCTAATTAGTAAACCCCACACGTGAACAGAATATACAGTGATAATCTGTAGCAGTGTAGAACCGCAAAAATGCTAGAACTGAGGTCTGAGAGGACCTTTCAATTATTCACAAGACTCTGGAGCCTCCTCTCCACCTTGCTATACTATTTTTCTTTTCTTAATGCCAAGGTTAGACACTTAGCCCAATCCCTTCTTTGTTGTTTATCTTTAGTCGATTGCGAACATACTTTTAGAATTAAGTTTTGTTGTTAGATGAATTTGACATCCTCATTGACAGAAGAAGTGTAAAAAAATGATTAGATGACACTGTTCACTGTATTTTAAACAGTCTAATGAAATTCTACCATGCGGCATTTCTGTCTCTAAAATTTCATTCAAAATATTAATGTAGCAAAATTATTACTTTTAACAGAACAAGATTGTTTTGTTTATTTATTTAATCTTAAGTTGACTTTGATATGCCTCTATCTCGTTTATGAAGAATAATTTTAGAATTCAATTGCTTACTTGAGCTATAGATGGATTTATTGGGGTTTAATACCATATTGAGTACTGGAATTCTATCTTAATCAAGAAGCGTAGTCTAATCCTCACATGTTAGTTTAATTATTTAGTGTACATTTAACACCCTTCGCAAGATTATGAATTGTTCGAGAGCATCAATATTGGAATTCGATGACTCCTCAGAGCTATAGGTGGACCAATGGTTTGTTTAAGCTTATTGGACACCAAGGCCGGCCCTGGCCCAAGGCAGTGGCGTTACTTGCCTTGGGCCTTAAATTTCAAGGGGCCTCTAAAAAAAGCCCAAAACCGTCCATCCCTTAAAAACAAATAAATAAAATTGGGCAAATAAAGAGGAAAACGGACCACCTTCTTCTCCATTCCAATCATTTACCATAAAAAAGTCTTGAGTTCTTTTTAACAAGAACCAAAGAACGTGTACGTGATAACTTGATGAGAAGTAGAGAACAATACTAATCTGAAAATCCCTAAAAACTACAGTCTATCAGCAAAGCTGTAAAAGTTCTAGCGAAATCCGATTACCCAACCATAGGTTCGACTTCTTTGTCATCTTCTTATGCTTATGTTGGCCTATCCATGTTTCCATTCCTGTATGGTTTCCCACTTCTCTGTCTTACCATTGATTTCTCAGTTGGAAACTTCATTTTCCGGTCGACGACAAATGCTCCAATTGGTTTAGTAAGCAACGGACCTTTAACCGGTCGATGGAGATGCCAGATGTTGATTAATTGATCTGGCTGTTGAGGTAATCCAGTTCTAGCAATATCATATGTATGTATCCTGTCTTAATTTCTGTTTGCTGAATCTTATGTGCTGGGATTTATCATTTACAATTGAGGGTGAGGCACTTGGGCAATTTTGATGGGAAGGGATAGATGTGGAAAAAGAATGCTTTGAATTGGTGGAAAATTCTGCCTAACCAGCCATGAAAAAAGGTATATTTACAGTGTGAAGTAGTATGAAGTTCAGAAACAACATGCTGTCACGTGCAACTTAAAGTTCATTTGAGAATTTATTTCTTGAGAACGTGCACGTGATTAGCTATGATTTTTATTGAAAAAAATATGTTGGAAAAATTTGATTTTAGTAGTTTGATTATTAATTTTATACCTCAAAATATGAGAGTTAAATCTTATGCTTGCCTAATCTTTGGGATTGTGGGAGAAGTTTTATTTTGCTATTTTTTCTTTTGAATTGCATAAAGTTTTCTTTGGACCCCATAATAATTAAATGCTTAGGGCCTCTAAATTCATAGAGCCAGCCTTATTAGAGAAAATTTCATAAGTAAGAGATTAAGTATGACACATTTCAAAAACAAAAAAACAAGTTTCAAATTTAAAAAAAATAAGATTTTTATTAAAAATTATTTATGATTTAATTAATTAATTAAGTATATTTAAGTCACAAATCTATATAATTTGGTCACAAATTAACGATTTAATTCGTTATTTATTATTTTTTTGTCACAAATAAGAAATTTTATGTCATAAATTATTTTACGGTCACAGTTCAAAAATTTTATAGGTCACAGTTTGTTCATTGGTCACCAATCGAAAAATTTATAAGTCACGATTTATTTATTGATCACAAATAACAAATATTACGAGTCACAAATTTTTATACAGTCACAAATTATTGATCATAGATTAACAATTTTTCAGATCACACATTATTTTTCTATCACAATTTATTTTTTTCATTGGTCACATATTATTTATTGGTCACAGATTAACCAATTTAATGGTCATAGTTAACTAAATAATTTGTGACCACAACCAACACTTGCAACCACCATCTTATTGTCGTCTCCAGCACAACCACCACCACCACCATTGTCACCAAAATCACCATCATCTCCTCTCGATAGTAACACTACTACTGCCATCGCTATCACACCGCCTACACTGCAACTATTTGCGATTATCACCAACTACGCTAGATCCACAACCTCACTAGTACCCAAGTCTATCTGCACCACGGCCAAATCCACCGACACCACCTCCATCAGAAAACACACCAAAAACCAATAAAATCCGATTGCATGCACCAATGCCACCACCACATGAACCGTCGCCTCCAGTGCCCCCATCACCGTCAACACAGTACCAATACCACCACCACCACCTTATCGTCATCGCCACAGTACCAAAAACACCACCACCACATGAACCGCTGGTACAAACCACAACATCCACCATCTCAAAATGCCACCACCACCTGTACCAAGCATCGCATCCACCATCTCCTCAATCCATTGCCACTACCACTTGCAGTTACACCACAATCGCCACCGCCAACAACAAAATTCCTAAACCAACCACTGCCGCAGCCACCACCAAATCCACTCCAAAAACTCCCCTCACCACAAAATCAAAAGAATGGTGAAACAAAACCTAGTGGCTGGAAGGTTGATGAGTGGAAAATGTGGAGGAACTTGATCTGCCTCTAGGTTCGATTAGGAGAAGGGATGCTACTCTTAGCGGTGGAGGTAAGTCTCCGGAGATCTGCAAATTGGCAGTGAAGGTAAGATGCCGGAGAGTTGAGCACCATCGATGGAGGAAGTTTTCGATACGTAGAGAGACGGCAGAGATAGAGAGAAAGAAGAAGGGAAAAGGGAAAACCAAATCATTTTGACCGGTTTGGTTTGGGTCAAAATCATTTCGTTGATCGGGTCCACGTGGCACCAAACCAATGATTTCTAAAATGCGATTTCAGTTCGATTTTTCAATTTTACGATTTTTACTTACAGCCCTACTTCCTACCCTTTATTTGTCAAATGACATTTTTATCCTTGTTTCATTGCAAGTTTTTCCTAAGAGTTGCCACCATTAAATTTCCTTTTAGGAGTATTTGTTTTTGATAATTGATATAGTCTCGTGGAACTTTAGGTGCTTTTGATTTACGTTTCTGTTTTCTATT